AAAAAAAAAAAAAAGGAATTTAAAAATTAGTAGCAAACATTTGTTAATAACTTACTTCAAAGGCTTCATCAGCAACTGAAATTAAATTTAAAAGGTTGCCGGAAAATAATATTGTCAATAAAGAAAAGGTAGTTAAGTATCACAAAATTTTTATTTGTCATGGAAGCACTAAATTTACTTGAAATAAAGTCAAGTAGGTAGAATAACACCCGTCGGACTGGAAAAGGAAAAGTTATAAAACTGGTCGAGAAAGTAAGAAAAGTTACATGAATTTCCGAAGCATACAACAAACAAACCTTATGGCAGATGTTCCCATAGTGATTAATATCACCGCAAATATAGCATCGTGTCTTCTTTCTTCGTTTATTGATATTAATGAATGTGTCGTCATTTTTCAGGCTAGCATCGAGTTCTGTTCCCTCAAGAAAATTTGTTTTCTCAGGATTTATTCCATCTTTTGGACTAATCTGCATCATGTCAAATATGTTAATATGAAAATATGACAATGAGATTTGTAGATCATTTGTTTAAAGCATTAGTGCACAATCTCTAATTAACGTGAGGGGCAAAATACAAAGTGTATAGCCAACGGAGAGGTACTTTCTCTATATCATTTATACGGAAGAAACCTTAACCACATGGATTTTTTTCTTGGATTATACTAATACTCAACATCTAACTAAAAAAAAAAAAGAAAAGGATTTATTATTTAATCATCAACCCGTATGAATCAAGATTCTCAAAGAACTTCTAGAATTCACAATTATACGAATAATTTGAACTGAACTCAAGGACCTGCCATAAAACGGGTGTAAGATAATGAACATTCTGATTTTCAAACAAGTTGTGAAAAAATAACAAACACATAAAATCCAACGAAATCAGGACAACAAAAAATATATCTTTTTTTAGGGATACACTGCTCTCACACTATCACTGAAGCACCAAAAATACTAATAGCATTCTTCATTGTACTAAATTATGAATTTCATCCAAACTTCAAAAGGAAACACAAAATTAAACCAACTTACTACACATTTCAAACACACAAAAAAA